CTCCAGGTATACGTAGTACTCGTGTAAGAGCGTATGAAAATTTTAGGGGGAAAATTGCTAACTCGGATACCAGGAAAGCTAGAAAGCTGGAATTTTGGAGGAATGCTTGGGGCCCAAACCCCTTTTTCTATTGCTCATATTTACCAGCGCAGTGAGCGCATCTTGCTGTTGCTGATGGTGTCTTTTGGGGTAGTACCACTGTCAAGCATAGCGAATTGACAGGCATCGCTGCTCTCGTTGTTCGGGGTCTCGGTTAACCGCACCGATCGATTTCGCCAACACGACCGTTCGTTCATCCAAGATCGAAGGACGCAGCAGAGCTGCGCCCGGCATATGGGAACATTCTACTGTGACTGTCTGGGTGAAGTTGCAGTTCTTCATAATATTGCACATAACAATTTTCCTGTTTGTTTAAAAATATCCAAGATGTGCATGCAGTGCCCGTAGATGATACCCGAGAGCGCGGGAACGCTGAGTTTGAATGGGCGAGGTTGAGCGTGGTCAGGGGGGTCATTACCCTAAAATTTGAGCTTCCTAGACTCCGTGGTTCCTGAGCTCGAATGCCAGCGTTGTGTAAATGGCTTGCAACGCGAAGTTAAATGTCAGTAGATTCTAGAAAGAGTTGCCCTTTTGTTGAAATTAGAACAACGGTATGATGAAAGGACGAAAGCTGTGAAGAAAGAAAATTTATGTTATTGAAGGCATTTGTGTTTCGTTGGTGAATTTACACTGGCCCATGTCGGGGTATTGAATCAACGAACAGCTTGATTTTCAATAAACGATGACAGAAGAAGCCATCGACAGCCCTGGAGAGTCGGTGTTGACACGTTTGTCACTGGGGGGACCATGTAGTGCCTTTTCGTCCCTGGAGGCGGAGGGAGGGGGAGGGGGCAGGGGGAGGAGATTTTTACTTTGACTTTTCGTTTTCAGTTTTACTGTATCTGTCTCAAATTATATCTCCACTTATTTATTCAGCAAATTTCCGCCTTAATTTTTTTTTTTTGGCTGTGCAGATCGCACTCTCTTCCTTGTTTTTCCAGCACATTTTTGTTTTTTTAAAGTGCTCTGTGAATGATGCACTTTGGTTTACCGCCTCAGACGGTGCATTTGAAAAGTTCGGCAAATTTGCATATTTTTATAGCATAAAAGTGGCCTGTTTGTTGCAGAGATGAGTATTGTTACGCCACCGGTAAGCAGTGAGATGGGGTCGTCGCAGCCGCCGCAGTGCCCAAATTTTTACTCTCTACGCCCGAAACAAGTGGATTTTGACGCTACATGGCGCAACGTGGAAAACTCCATCAAGCGTATCATGAGATTACAGCCGCTCGAACGACGCGTCTGGGATTATAATTTCTAGTAAGTACCATGCCACAAGTCTCCGCCAGCAACTTTGCATTCTCTTGACATCACCGCGCAGACGCTTGCTGTGGCAAGACCGATGTTGTTGGGATGCATGAACATCCCAGTCGAGAATTGCGCCTATGACAGGTCGCAGCTCAAGTTGCCTGATGAAACGTTTCGCGTGATTTTTATGCGTTTTGTGCTGTGTTACAAAACGCATATTGTTACGGGGTTGTCTGTGTATACGTGTGTGTGTGTGTCTGTGTGTGTATCCCACATTTTGTTCCGCACTTTCAACTTGGGAACCATAAAAGCTAGGCGGCTGAAATTTTGGTATAGTGTGCCCCGCCAACGGGTGACGCGGCAAATTCAAATTCAGCCTTCCCTTACCCGCGGGTAACTCGTACGGCCTTGTGAAAGTTTTTCACGGGTAAGTTAATAACTCGGGAACCACGGCGTCTAGGAGCTGAAATTTTACGGTAATTACCCCCTGCCCACGCTCAACGTTGTCGGGAACCATGGAGTCTAGGAGGCTGAAATTTCAGGGTAATGACCCCCTGCCCACGCTCAACCTTGCCCATTCAAATTCAGCGTTCTCGCGCTCTCGGGTACCACCTACGGCCTCGTGAAAATTTTGGCGGGTAAATTATTAACTCGGGAACCACGAAAAGATATTCACCTTTCAAGGTTTCGAATTCAGCTTTCATGCGCTGATGTGTGACATTTCTAACTATTTTCCAGTGTCTGAACTATTTTTGCATAGACTAAAATACATAGCAGTGAAAACCATCAATAGGCAATCATTCGATTTGCTGAATTGCACAAAATGCATGATCGCACCGGCTAGCCTGGTGCGCGTTGCCATTTATTTTCGAATGTCTTGGAAATGTG